ATTTTTCATTGTGAACAACTTTATTTAATATAAAAAGATCGATTTACTTAATAAAAACTTAGCAAAAATAATGTTTCATTGTACCGCCATTACTTTCGCCGGGGACTGTATAAATAACAATTCAATATCAATAATGTTAAATTAGCGTGTAAAATTATTTGCTTATTAAATTTTTGAATTAAATAAATATTAGAGAGAAAAAACAAAAATATTAGAAGAGGAAAAAAATCATGGTGGCTGACATATTCACATTACTCTAGTTTTTTAATAAATGTAGGTAGCAAATTTATACTTGGTGGATTAATACAAGAAGTGAATATAAAATATTATATGCCTATCATCGAAGCGAAAATCCCTTTTCGGTTGAAGAGGTAGAAGAATTTGTCCATTCACTGATGACCTTGCGGGTAAGAAGTTCTTGAAGACAAAATTATTATAGAGTAATGACACTATTTGTACCTAGAATGGGATAATCGTGAATTTACATAACCTCAATCAGTAAAGAGTTCCGCTTTTTTTATCATTACTCAACATACATTTCATTAATAAAGCCGTACATAGAAATATCTGAAAAAAATAACCTATACATATCGAGAATGTCTGAATCGATACTATTTATATCTAGATATCTACACACCTATTCATAATCGAATACTGCCTTTGTATCTTGCGTGTTCCTATTTACGATAATTATATGATCATTATCAATGATATATATATACTTATCCCGGTTTTTAAATTGCATATACTGTGTAGGATTCATGGTAAATTTACCTTGAGATTTCCGTTTATTGTTTCTAGATTTGCGAGACATATTAATATCTTATGTATAATGACGTATTATATCAAAGTATTGAGACGCATTCAATTTTTTTTTCTTGCTAAACAATTGTTCACGCGCACGTGATTTTGATGATAAAGCATGGACATCCGCATAATTCTTATCAAGACAAATGGTTACATAGAACCTTACTTTATTGATATATAAAAAATGTTACCGAATAACAACATAAAACAAAATAAAATCATATCGCAGTTACATACTGCAGACGTAAATAAAAAAAAATTATTATTCATTGGCGTATGCAATAATGTGATATATATACTTTTTTTTTTTTTTTTCAGGCGGTTGCGTTTACTTTGTCGAAAATTATTTCGTCGACACCCATTTCGTCGAAAGTTTGTTTCATCGAATGTTCATTTCGTCGAAAATTATTTCATCCTCGAGCCAGAGACCGAACGAGTTAGATGTGAGGAGTGTGGGAAGTTAGTTAAGAAATTAGGCGAGGAAAGCGGTGTGTGTGGAAGTGTGAGGAGAAATTTGTTTAATGAAGTTTTTTTTTTGTGACGAAATAATTTTCGACGAAATGAATCAGACCCCTTAAACCTGCCATTTGATAACAAAGTATCATCACCTTTTTTTTAAATTGTATAATGTTGTTGTATTTTTTGAAACAGGATTCATATTTTGATAAAGCATCTCAAAAAAACGAATTAATTCAGGATCTCTTGTTTCAATCATTTTGATAAATTCATCAGGATCATTTATAGGCTCATTATTTTCATGACATTGATAGTTGTCAAGAACAGTTGTTAATCTTTTGATTTTGTCATTGAAAATACTTGAAAAATTAACTGCCTCTAAAGATATATACATAAAGTTATTAATTTTGAATCAATATATCATTATGTTAAATGTGTAAAATATAAAATATAAAATATAATTAAATAAATAATTCCAACAAAAAAAAGAAAAAAAGAAAATATATATAAATATGTAATGATATTTTTTCATCAAATGATCTGTTATTATTATTATCATCATAAAGAGAGTGAACTGTATATCATCAATATATTTATATTCTAAATCTTTTACCTATCATTTCATTTATTGAATACATTGTAAGAATTTTGTTATCTCATTTTGTAATTCTTCAATTGAAGCTAAAGAATTATTATTATCAGTTGCAATATTTTCAGTTGACTTATGTCTTTTAAATGACTTGTTATCATTTTTCTTGTTGTATTTTTGATTCCTGTCATATTGCACCACACAATTATAACAATTTGAACAAAGAGAATCACCAACATTTACAAAAAATTCTCCCTTGTTAGCTTTTTTCTTAGCCTCTTCAGTAAAATTTCTAAATGTTGAGAATTTTTCTTTTTTACAGTAATTGCAGAATTGATTTTTAGGCGGCATTTAATTTTTATAAAATAGATTGCAATTTTGAAAAGTGTGATCTTCTCTGTGATCTTTTGACAGTTCGTATAAAACAACTAGGAGAATAATATATAGAAGTTTGAATGATCGTTAATTAGTACACTTGTACCCACTTTAATTGATGGGACTGGTTTGATTATTTTAAACAATATACGTGATATTCGAATGTCCACCATGCTTTTATGACAATCTCAACCAATAAAAAATTGAACACTGTGTTATATATATCATCACTAATTTGGTTAATTAAAATTCAAAAATTTTTTTTTTATTCTTTAAAAACATTTGATTTCCCTCTTTTTTAATTTTATTAATTCTTTACCTAAACAATCAGAAATTCTTGAACTGTTTGTTTTTTCAAAAAAAATTCATATGCAAATATGAAAATATGAAATATTGATCTCAAGAAATATTTTTTTTGTTCTTTTCAACATAACCAAAGGGGACGTCTAAAATTACCAGACGTCCCCTCTCACATCCTCGAAATTTGGTTAATATGATAATTGTCTTGTCGTTATCATATGAGTGATAAAATTACCAGACGTCCCCTCTCACATCCTTGAAATTTTCGATAATATAATAATCGCCTTGTCGTTATCGTGTGAGAAGTTTCGGGACTGTTTGCAAATATTATATATACACAATGTTTCATTCTTCAGCGCTGTTAGGAGATGACAATTGGAATAGGACTTTTTTTCGAATATTAGAGGAATAATTACAAAGTTAACATTTAAATTAGGTGAAAACAATCAAGTAAACATTGAGAGAAAAATATTCTTAATATTCTTTCTTAAGAATTAATTGATACAGAAGAAAATTATTTATTATTATGTAGTTTTTGCATATATTTTTTATATAATGTATTTTTTTTTTTTTCATGTATTTTTTATTTTATCAGAAAATAAAAAAGATTTTGTTACACAATATTTCCATTGTCTTTTTAATCAAAAAAAAATAATGACTAAAAGCAAACGTATGTTATGCATATAATTACAATCGAACAAAACTTTTAATCATTAATTTTATTAACGTTTACTTTTCTGTGTATGGCCCTAAAGTTTATATAGGACATCTTTCCTCAAGGACAGAAAAAAGAGATCTAGAGGAGTTGGTAAATAAATATCATTAGTGAATTTATTTAAAAAAAAAGAAACTAATTAATAACTGATTAAAATATGATATTGCAGTTTGAAAGATATGGAAAAGTTATTAGTGTAGATGTTAAACCTATGGGCTACGGATTTGTTGAATTTGAAGTTAATAATAATTATATTTAAGAAATTTTTGATGTGTTTTTGGAGTTCTTGGAATATTAATAAACAATGATCTAATATACATTAGGATCCACGTGATGCCGATGATGCAGTAAAACAATTAAATGGTTATGAATTGGATGGTGCAAGGATCACCGTAGAATGGTCACGTAGGTCTGGTGGACCTGGAAGTGGTTGCTTTTTATGTGGTGGACAAGGTCATTGGGCCAGAGAATGTTCTGATGCTAGGGAAAAAGGTATGGATGTTAGGAGTGGAAAGTGTTTTCGATGTGGTGAAACAGGCCATCTAGCAAAATATTGCAGGTAAAAAATTATTTTTTATTATTAAACATTCTGTGTATTTAATAATTTTATAAATAAAATTTGATAATTTTTAGAGGAGGTCGTGTTGGTGGTGATTATGATCGTGGAAGTCATTCTTCTAGATACGGAAGAAATCGATCTTCCTATCATTCACATGGTGACTCTTATTATGATGATCGTGATCGTGATAGAGATCGTGATCACAACCAAGATTACGATCATGTCAGAGGTCGGGACCAAGATCATGATTGTTATAGCCGTCATTCTAGATCACCGCCACCTTATGATAGTCCTGATAATAACAATGGCGGCTACAACAGATCACCACCAAGAAATCAATCAAAAGGTTCATATAGACGCAGTTCAAGTCCTTATGATTATGATTATAGAAGAAGTCTAAGTCCATATGGGTATGTTTTAAGGATGCTATATTATATCTGATTGTAATGTGATTTTATTATCACTGTTACTATTACTACTAGTTCAGTTTTAGTCTTTTTTCATCATATATTTCATTGTTTGCGTGTCATCATTATTGTTTATTCTGGATCATGGGAGATGACTTGTTATCGAGACTTTGCTCGGAACTGGCAAAAGTGATCTTTTGTATTTAATTTTTTTAAAAAAAGAGTGTGTATATATGTGTGTGTGTGTGTGTGTGTATACATATATATTAATTATACATATTACAAGGATTTCCGGGCAATTTTTTTGGGGGGAGATATAAAGTCTTTTTTGCTTGCTTGAAACTCAAATTATGTAGCTCACACAAATTTTTTATTTTCAACACACTGGATATATTTTGTTCTGGATCAAATATATATATATATAGGCATGTAAGAAACTATTAGTCAATTAACCAATCAATCAAAATCATATGGACAAAATATACTTGTGGTCTTATAAAATGCGAAGAATTTATTGGAGGTTTGTATTATCCAAAAAAATTTTTTTTTTAAAAAACCGCTCTTTGGAGTTTTACAGAAGGCCATATTTGAAGAATTCTATTCTTGTCTTTTTTTTTCTTTCGTCATAAATTTAAAATATATAATTTTTTTTATATTTTATAATAATAAACACATTATTGTTACACGCCCAATTGATAATCAACCAAATAAAAAAAAATTTTTTAATTTTTTTTTTTTTCAAGAATTAAATTATTATTAAATAAAATAAAAAATGGTAAGTTGGTTGAATAATTATAATACAACTC